TGTTCTCAAATTGGCAAAATCATTAGCGTGACAGCTAACTTTTCCTCTCTTCAATGGGCAGGGGAGACTGGAAATCTAGATATAGTTTTATTGGGACAAACGGAATGTTATCTATCTGAGGAAGAATATACCCAAAAGCCCTCAAAATCAGATTGTGCAATTTGGAATGCTAAATTTTGTGCACATTCTCTTCAAAGCCAAGAACTACTAAGTGATACATACACCATCCCTCCCACTTACAGTAATGTGGTAACTTGCATGCATGACTGTGCAACTGAGATCGTCAACAGCCAGTTAAGGATGTCTCAGCTCTTACTTGAAAGACTCTAGTCATTGCATTCCAAAATAAGACTCCTAATGGTGTCTGTCAGCTTGTTTGGAGATGCTTGTGCAGATCAACTTCTGGACTTAGGTGAAGGAAACCTCTTTTTCACTGTATCATTTAGGTTCAATGATGCCTGTGCTGTTTGGAAAAAGAACTTTCAGATATAGTACTTAGTCTCATAATAATTCAGTTAGTGGTCTTAGACCTTTTTTTTTTGGTGGTACTGGAGTTTGAACTCAGGGCCTTACACTTGCTAGGCAGGCTCGCTACCACTTGAGACACTCCGTTAGTCCTTTTCTTGTGAAGGGTTTTTTTGAGATAGGGTCTCTTGAACTATTTGCCAGGGACTGGCTTTGAATCTCAATCCTCCTGATTTCTGCCTCTTGACTAGTTAGGATTACAGCTGTGACCCATTAGTGCCCAGCTTGTTTTGTTTTTTGAGATATGGTCTTCTATTTTTCCCAGGTTGGCCTGGAACTCTCTATGCCAGCCAGGTTGGCCTCAAACTTATGATCCACTTGCCTCAGCCTCCCCAGTGCTGGAATTGCAGGTGTGCATGACTGGCTGTTCATAGACCTTTTAAGTAATCCTATGCTTCATAGAGTTCATCATGGAGTTTTATTCTCTGAGTCAATTTTTAGTGCTGTGCTTTAAATGATATGCTTTATGTTGTTATCTAAATAGTACCTGATAATAATTTTTTTGGCCTTGCTGTTTCAAATTGTAAAGCCTTTGAGTTTGGAAATATATAAATAAATACATATCATTTTCGTTAATGTAGTCATTACTATTTCTCATTTTTATTAATGTAATCATATCAGAAAACCTAGGTTTGAGGCAGTAATCACATTTGAGCAATTATACCTAGCTTAGCAGGTAAGACAAAATAGTAAAATGGTGGGCTTTATAACTGAATAGAACATATTACCTGGAAAATATTTTTCTAACATTGAGCTCTGAGAGGACTTTACTCTTTGTGATATTATGCAAGAAGTTGGATAATACAATCAATATCTTAGTAAATAACAAAAAAAAAAAGAAAAAGAAAGAGTGAGAGAAAAGGTTTAGTTTGGTCCTGTTGCTTTGGGCTTGTGGTGAAGCAGCAGGTGGTGGCAGGATGTATGGTGGAATAAACCACTCATCTCATGTCCAGGAAGCAAAAACGACCCTGGAAGAGATCGTGGTCCCACAATCCCCTTCAAGACACACTGGGTCCCACCTCTTAAAGCTTGCACCATTTCCCAATAGTACTAAGCTTTTAATACCTGGGCCTCTTAGGGACATCCAAGATTCAAATGTAGCAGTGACTTACAACGATATTCTCTCTGGGTATTGGTGGATCTGGGATTTGGGAACAGTTTGGCTGGGATTTTCTGGCTTGGGTGCTCTTGTGAAGTTGCAGACATCTGAAGGTTTGCCTAGGACTGAAGGATCTGCTTGCAAGATTACTCACAGGAGTGGTGAATTAATGGTGGCTGTTAAGCAGGAGCCTCAGTGCCTCTCTGTGTGAGCCTCAACACTAGCAGACTTGAGTGTCCTTGTGTCATCACTGCTGCCTACTTCCAGAGCAGGATCTAAGAAGCAGCAATAGAGGTATCTAAATATCTTTTATGATCTAGTTTCAGAAGCCATGCATCAGCATTTCCTCAATATTTTGGTAGTTATATGGCCCTCTTTAATATGGTTGTGACTACCAGGAGGGAGGGATCATTGCAGGTCATCTTGGGGACTGGCTGCCACAATGTAGGTATTATTAAATTTATATATATAAATGTAAACTGATTTGGATATATTATAGTATATGTTTGTGTATAAATATAACTATAAAATAAAATTATATTAATTGATGTTTACCATACTAGAAACTAAGACAGAAAACTTTTTTTTTTTGATGGTACTGGGGTTTGAACTCAGGGCCTTGAACTTGCTAGGCAGGCACTCTACCACTTGAGCCACATACCCATCCTAGAAAACTTTTAAATACTAGCTTATTTATTAAAAAAAAAGAAAAGCTCACTAGCACAGCAAAATAAAATAAATAAGAAAAATGAGCTCAGTATGTGTTAGTATAAGTAATTTATTTTTAGTTAAAATATATTTTGCCATCTGAGTGCCAGGGGCTCATGCCTGTAATCCTAGCTACTCAGGAGTGAGAGATAAAGAGGATCAAAGGTTGAAGTCACCCCTGGCAAATAGTTTGTGAGACCCTATCTGGAAAAACCCAACACAAAAAAGGGCTGGTAGAGTGTAGGCCCTGAGTTCAAATGCCAGTATTGCAATATATATATAAGATGTATGTATAACATATATATAATGTGTATATATATATATCCAATCAAAAAATCGAAGAATAGCACTATTTTACTTTTCTAAAAATCTCTTCTGTGTGTTTTTTTTTTTTTTGGCAGTACTGGGGCTTGAACTCACACTTGCTTGCTAGGCAGGCACTCTATCACCTGAGCCACTCCGCCAGCCCTGAAAATCTCTTTAATGTCATAACAGAAGAAAGTGGATTCTAACTTTTGCTTTGGTGTATTTCACTGCTCTTTCATGAGAAAATGATGAAATGATGAAATGGAAAATAATTTCCTAGTATAATTATGAGCTGGTAGCAAATGGCCCCCAAATCTCAGTAGCTTACAATAGAGGTTTAATTCTTGCTCCTACTTCTGTTCCATGTCATCTTCACTAAGGAACCCAGGTTGACATAGCAGCCTCTAGCCAGTATATTACTAGTTATCATGATAGGGAAAAGAGAACATGGTGAACCATTCTGGCTCTTAGAGCATCTGTTTTGAAGTGACATGTCATATTGTTTTTCCTTTTATGAGCCAAAGGAATTCATATGGACAAGTTTTAGTTTATCAGTGCTGAGATAAATAACCTTCCTTGCAGGTTGGGGCCTCACTGGGAAGGAATACCAAGTATATGTGCTATTTATACATCTATCATGGTGTTTATTTTTTGGCAGTACTGGGGTTTGACCTTGGGACTTCAAGCTTGCTAGGAAGGCACTCTACCACTTGAGCCACACCTCCAGATCCTACCTCTTTTTCCTTTAATTATTTTTCAGGTAAAGGCATTTTAAAAAATATTTGAGGCAGGTGTTGTGGTTCATGCCTGTAATCCCAGAATTCAGGAGGGTGCGGTGGGAGGAGGATCCAGAGTTAGAGGCTAGCCTAGGAATGTGAAGAATTAATATGTGGGAGAGAGGAAGTTATCAAGAAAAGAAGTAATGTTAGGAATTGACTGCAATTTCTTTTCCTAAAGGACAGAAATGAGAGTGGCTTGAATTAGGGTGGTTGTAATGAGCTGATTCAAGATGAACTTTGGGGACAAGATTAGTAGGATTTGTTCTTGGAGTTGGGGGTAGACTTAAGGAAGAATACTGAAAGACAATTTCTAGGTTTTGGGTTTGAACAATTTGGTGCTGAGAGTGACATTTATTGAGATGGGGATAACAGGGAAGAACAGGTGGGATTTTTTTTTCCTTTTTGTTTTATTTTGAGACAGGCTGGCCTCCAACTCACCATCCTCCTGCTTTAATCTTCCCAGTGCTATGATTACAGCATGTACCACCAGGCCTGGCTTTTTTGTTGTTTTTTTTAAGAGGGAGTGGAACGAATGCTCTGTTTTGAACATGTTAAGCTCTAGGTGCCTATTAGACATCTAAATTGAAATGTTCACAGGCACTTGGATATGTTGAGAGAGATTGGGGAGAAGTCAGAGCTGGAGATAGAAATTCTGGAAAAGCCAAATAGGAGATAAGGAAGAGGGCTTTAGGATAAAGCTTTGGTGAACTCCAACAATTACAGGTGGACAGTGACACTGGATCCAACAAAGGTGACTGAGGAGGAGAATTGAGGTAAGGCGAAGACCGGCAGAGTGCCATATCATGGAAACAGAGAAGAAAGTGTTTCGAGGAGGGAATAATCTAGTATTTATTCCATGTTCTAGAAGTTGGATAGGGTGAGGATAGCAGAGTATTTGGGAACGTGGAAGTCGCAGGTGATCTGGACAAGTTCAGCTTAAGTGGAGAAGTGAGAATCAAGATATCATTAGATGGATGGAGGAAAAGCTGGGAAATGAGAAATGAACACGCCTCTTTTGAGAAGCTTTTTGTCAGGTAGGTGGAGAAAAGGGAGGGCGCCAGTGACTTCCCGCCTGTAATCTTACTTAGGAGGCAGAGATCAGAGGTTCGAAGCCAGCCCCGGGCAAATAGTTCGTGAGACCCTATCTCAAAAAGAAACCTTTCACAAAAAGAGGGCTCAGGGTGTAGGCTCTGAGTTCAAACCCCAGAACCACAAAAAAAAAAAAAGAAAGAAAAAAAGAAACGCTGTATATATGAAACCTTGACGTAAATTGCAAATGGTGTACAAATCTTATTTTGTAATTTATTATTCGAAGTCAAAGCAGCTCAGTATGAAGTCAGAAGAATGCTACCATTGGCTCCTGGTTTCGGTCCATTCATCCGCAAATTCCTTTCCAGCCAATGAGAAACCGAGAAAGGAAGAGCTCTCTGGAGAAGGCGGAGCAGAAGGCATCAAGGGCTTGAGAGCAGAAAAACGGATTGCCGAGGCAATATTGTCCTTTCAGGGACACCGTAGCACAGATCTCGTGACTATTACAGTGTTTTAGGGGCGGAGCTACCGGGAAATTAAACCGAGCCCGCGACCGAAGACTCCAAGAACGACACTGTGGTACGGGAACACCCGGGGCTTGGGACCCGCCCCGCCTCCCGCAAAGAGTCCATGGAGAACGCGAACGCGACTCGGAGGCCTTGAGGACGGAGGCAGAGGGGGAGCCGAGATTGACGGGCGAACCGGGAAGGGGTACGGGTGCCGGGAAGGGGTGGAAAGTAAGGTTGCGGGGGTCCTGAGCGGAGGCGAGGGTCGACTCGGGGAGTGAGAACTAAGAGAGGAGAGGATAGAAACTGAGGGACCATAAGGAGTTGCGCAGTGGAGGCGACGCGGGCGGGAATTGGGATGTATGTGCAAGGGTCGCCCAGAGGTCGTGGGGCTGAGAGACAGAGGGACTAGAGCCCGGAAGGAAGCACTCGGCTGAGTGGGCCGAGGGTCGGAATCTAGCTGCGTCCAGCTGTTCCCCGGAGCCTCGTGGGCGAATAGTTCGGGGTGGGGGAAGGGATGGAAGATCGGAGGGAGGTGAAAGTGGTTGAGTTTCTGTTCTGTCCCTTTTCTCAGGCGACCTCGAGCTGGAGAGTTCCATGGCTGAGAGTCGGCTCAGGGCTCCGGACCCGGGTGGGTAAGAGGCTCGGAACTCGGGATGCGAACGTTGTAGCCTATGGGAGTTTTCTGGTTATTTGGTGGTTTTCTCTCTCTCTCTCTCTCTCTCTCTCTCTCTCTCTCTCTCTCTCTCTCTCTCTCTCTCTGTGTGTGTGTGTGCAGGGGTGTCATAGATTATTTGCGAATTTATGATGAAGTCAATTAAGAGTTAGGTATTTCGGGTTGCTCAAGCTTGTAATCCTTGGGAGAGTGAGATTGGGAGGATCGCAATTCAAGGCCAGCCTAGGCAAATAGTTCCAGAGACCCCCATCAACAAAATATCCAGAGCAAAATGGACCGGAGGTAATGACTCAAGCGGTAGAGTACCTGCTTTGCAAGCATGAAGCCTCGAGTTCAAGCCCCAGTCCCACCAAAAAGAGGTGGAGGAAGAAGGAGGGAGGGAAGAGAGAGAGAGAAAAATTGCAATATTTTCTTCATGCAAACTGGATACTGGGGATGTAGGTCAGTGGTAGAGCATTCACATAGCATGTAGGAGGAAGGTCCTGTGTTCATTCCCCAGGACTGAAGAAGAAAAAGGATGTTGAGAATTGATGTCAATCTGATTCTTAATTCTTTTTGTAAATGACCTACTTTCCTCTTCAGCAAATTTTAGATTATATTTATTTATACATTATACTTTTTATATTTCTTAAAATTCACTATAACATCATGTGTAGAATTTAGAGGGTGTTTAATTTTCATTTTTAAATACAATTTTATGCTTATATAATTTGAAAGGCAAAGTCTAACACAAACAGCCTCAATCTTCTGTTCATACCCTTTTGGTTACTACTCCCTAGGTACAACCATTTACAGCTCTTTTATCTATTTCTTCTAGTATTTATCTTCTTATTTGTCTAATAGCTTGTGTATGTTGCTTTTGTTGTTGTTTTCAATTGTAAATCATATTTACTGACTGCTATGGAAGATCCTTTTTCCCCTGTCTGCCTACTCCCATGCACCACGCATTCATTCCTCACCTCTCCCCTCATCTCTCAATGTATATGTAATAACTTTGGTTTTAATCACTTTGTATTTATATTATTCTAGTTATATTAAGGTTATGCAGAGCTGAGCCATGTAGTGAACTAGGAAATTTGCTTCATTTTTGTGTCCAAACTCTTTACCAGGTGTATTAAACCTTCTCTCAGTACTTTCAATCTCCCCAAGGATCTGCAGTTTCTCCTGTCAGTTTGTCTTGGAGGCATTCCTGCTGGAACTGTTTGTTTGAGTGCTCCAGTCTGGTCTCACTGTGCACAGATTTCGTCATGCTGTGGAATTCCCTCTGCCTGTCTTATGTGTTGGATCCCCCTCTATCCCGAGTTCCATATTTTCTCTCTCCATTTACTTCTTCATTTTGGTAGAGTGAGAAAGAGTCCCTGAGAAGTAAATTTTTGAGACTTTGGAGGTCTGACAATTCTTTTCCCCCAAAAATAATTTTTTTATTTGTATATAATCTCATTCTCCTGTATATGTGGAAGGTAAAACCTTATATTTGGAAAGTGTTTCTTGTGCTATTTTATCATATGACCTATTTATAAAAATATATATTAAAAAAGTTGTAAAAACATAAGTCCAGGATGTTTTTAGGTGACCAGACCAGAGTGCAGGGGCTCATATCTGCCCTGGGTGACCAGGACTCTGGAGTCTCATGCACCTCTCAGCTCATCAAAGTTATTCTTTCAACAAACATGTAGAGGGTGGATACTCAGCAGTATCCAACACAGAAGTCCCCTAACCCTCCATTGCATAAAGGGGAAAAATGACACTAAGATCATTACACATAATATTCATTCAGAATATCTAGGTTCTAGCTCAGAAAGGCAGAAATGAGCCCTGTTCTGTACACAGAGTAACCGAGACTAAGTAAGAGACAAGGTTGGCCTAAAAGATCACACAGCACACCCGCAGACCAGAACTACAGAAAGTGAGGCTGAGACTGAACAGAGTGAAAGGTCTGTCAGCCCTAGAAGGGACCAAAACAGGCTCAATCCCTTTTCTTATGGAGTTTGCACCCATATGTGACAACTATCAGTAAGCAAAGGTGCAGGTTGTGCCAAGCGATGAGGCAACAGTGACTGGCGAGGCCACTCTAGATGTGCCAGGGAAGGCCTCTTGAGAGGCATTTGAGATGAGTTCTGAAGGGTAAGAAGAGACACATTCTGCAGAGAAGAGAAGGCATAGGCACACGCAACCGCTGTGAGGCCTGAAGGAGCTGGGCAGGCTGTGAGCAGGGATGGCAGAGCTGCCAACACTGAGACATAGCCAGGAAGAGCCCCATTGCAGAGGTGCTGAGAAAGGCAGAACCCAGGCGTCTGGGACTTATTCACAGTGCAGTTAGGAACTGTGGAAGGCCTTAGCCACAAGTGATGCCTGGCTGTGTGGGATTCAGAAGGAGACAGTGGACTGACGTTAGCTATCTGAAGGCCTGCCTGAGATCCATGGGAAGCAGAAGGTGAAGACTGAAGGGGTTCATTGAAGGACCCCAATTCTGGTCCAGCACTCGGCACCCTGACCTGAAACTTTTTTGTTTTTGTGGCACTGGAATTTGAACTCAGGGCCTCACAATTGCTAGGCAGGTGCTCTTACACTTGAGCCACTCCACCAGCCTGACCTGAAAGTTTACTTTTTTGTGTGTATGTGTGTGCTGGGGCTCAAATTCAGGGACTCACATATGCTAGGCAAGTGCTCTACTACTGAGCTAAACTCTCAGTCCCTTGTTTTGGTTTTTGACACTAAAAAGTCATATCATCAATTAAGGAAATTTTTACTGATTGTCTCTGAATGTTATTTTTATTGCATTCCCTTTTTTTCTTTTGTGGTACTGGGGCTTGAACTCAGGGCCTACACCTTGGGCCATTCCACCAGCCCTTTTTTGTGATGGGTTTTTCGAGATAGGGTCTCTTGAACTATTTGCCCAGGCTGGTTTCAAACCATGATCCTCTTGATCTCTGCCTCCTGAGTAGCTAGTAGGCTACAGATTCTTTCTTTAAATGTCCCACTTTATTTAAGAATGAGGCAATAAAATGCTAATTGAAAGTCCTTGGGAAAGGGAGTTATCAGATAGTAAACGTCATTGTTGGTTTTGCATTGTGGGTTTTGTTAGGTTGGACCCTGGCAATTTTGTAGTTTTGTATGTTTTGTCTTGAGCCAGTTAATTCCCTAGATAGGTGTCTTCCTCTGCCTGTTAAGTATAAGCTTGATTGTCCAGCATTCTGGGAGCTCATTGTCCCTCTGATTTCAGGGCCTTTCAGCTTTAATTAGCTTGTGTGTTAGACTTTTTGTAGCTACTGAAGTACTTGAGACACATAGTTTAAAAGAGGAAATGTTTATTTTGGCTCAGTTTCTGAGGTCACAGTTCATGACTAGTTGGCTGCCTTGTTTTGGGGCCTCTGGTGAGGCAGAACATCATGATGGGAAGGATGTGTTAGAGCAGAAATGTTGACCTTGTGGTAGCCAGGAAGCAGAGAGAGAGAGAGACAAGGCATATCTTTCTAGGGCACAACCCAGTGTGCGTCTTCCTCTAATTAGGCCCCACCTCCTAACTCTCCATCACCTCTCAAAATAGTGCCACCAGGTGAGGACCAAACTTTCAACACATGAGACTTGGGGGTGGGGGGCATTTCACATTCAGACTATAACAGCTTGCTTCTTACTTTGCTCGAGTCCCTGAGTTCAAACTCTAGTACCACCAAAGCAGTAACAAAGGGGCGGTGAGGGGAGGTGGCCCAAACAATGTATATACATGTGAGTAAATGTAAAAACAATAAATAAATAAACAGCAACAAAAAAATAATTTTTTGCCCTCATTGCTCTATTCTTTCCCCTTTGCAGTTCCTCTGCTTTTTTTTTTTTTTTTTTTTTTTTTTTTGGTGGAACTGGAGTTTAAACTCAGGACTTCATGCTTGCAAAGCAGGTGCTCTACTGCTAGAGCCACTCCTCCAGTCCATGGTTGAGGGCGGGTCTCATGAATTATTTACCTGGGCTGGCCTCGAACGTCTGGAAGTTCTTACTCACATTTTGCCAGTTGTTCCCAACAGTCGTTTTTTTTTTTTTTTTTTTTTTTTGGTGTAAGATACAATCTAGGATCACACGATCACACGTTGCTTTTAATTGTCATATCTCTTTAATCTCTTGAGAGAAATCTGCCATTCTTTCTTTGTCTTTAATGACCTCTGTACTGTTTGTTTGGATTGGGATTTGAACTCAGGGCTTCACACTTGCAAAGTAGGCTCTCTACTGTTTGCGCCACACCTCTAGTCCATTTTGCTCTGGTTATTGTAGAGTTGGGGATTTCATGAACTATTTGCCTGAACTGGTCTTGAACCAAATTCTCCCAATCTCAGCCTCCCAAGTAGCTAGGATCATAGGCATGAACCACCAGCACCTGGCTGACCTCTACTTTTGAAGAACAAAATGTCCCTTGACTTGGGTTTGTTTGATATGTCCTCAGATTGAATTCAGATTGTGTGGTTTTGGTACAGAAGTGATGCTGTGCCCTTCCCTTGAAAGTGTCAACAATGTCAACTCAGTGCCACAAGGCTCATTATGAGGATGAAGATTAACTTTGATCATTTGATTGAATTGGTGTCTGCCAGAATAGTTACTGTTCACCATCTTATGAGGAGATACTTTTAAACTATAAATCTCAGTGTTTAAATTTTTTTTCCATAGCAGCTTTATTAAGATAAAGTTCATATGCCACATAATTCACCCATGTAGTGCATATCCATTGGCTTTTAGGATATCCACAGTGTTCAACCATCCTGACAGTGAGTTTTCATGTTAATGCAGTCATGTAACACATAGTCTTTTATGACAGAGTTCTCTCATGTATTGTAATATTTTCACAGCTCATCCGTTTGTGCTGTGTATCAGTACATCCTTTTTCTTGTTGAACAGTGTTCCATTGTACAGATACACTATGTTTTATTCATTCATAGACATATGACTTACTTCTATTTCTTTGGCTATTA